CTTATGCTTATTCTGAACCACAAACTTTTTTTATATACTCATCTAACTTTTCCGTCATCTCGACAAATCTAAAGGAAGCACTACCAGTGTTATCGGGTATAAAACTTTTACAATTTGCTTAAGCGGTTTATAACAACCAGCGCCTTAGCGACAACTCGCGTGATAACTGAAGCTATAACCCTCATTATTTACGAGTGGTCTCCACAGTACATTCACAGTAAAAAGATATACACGTTTGGTAAAATTCAAAAGCTATTTTATCTTAAGGTTTTAAATCGAGCGGTATTGCAGGTACTGTAGGGTTGTTTTATTTCGCTGCTGCCTGTACTGCTTTGTTAATAAGGTGGCAAAACCTGATAGTTTTATTGTAGGGTTGCTAAATAGTCCTACAATTGCGCTGACAGGTTAATATCGTTTTTATTCATGCCTCTGTAATGTGGACATTTATTTGTTTTCTACAGTTGCAGTATTTTCTGTAATTAGTTGGTATGCCAGGTGACGAGAACTGAGTTTCGCTAAGGTTTTGTTTAATTGGAATATATCTTGGTATCCACTCGTGAATAATATTCGAGATATTCAGACGTTGGATTTACGACTATATCCCATAACGAGTAAAATAAACTTTCTATGCATTTACAACTGTCCCTATTTTATTGTTCCATGAATATATTTTTGATGGTCAAGCCCCATCTACTAGTATTTTTGTTCCATCATATATTTCTCTTGGTATTTCTTGAACCGTTACGGGATGATATAAAATCCATGCCAAATATCGATTTATTGCGACTCAACGTTTGAGTAATTAGCTATAATGAAGTGCCCTATTTATTTCGTAATAGCTTATAAAACATTTGACTCCTGAGTAGAGAGAGATAGAGGTAGAAAGAATAGTCTGGTTAACCATAACCATACTAAACCATCCTGGTGAAAACCACCGGCATCTTGAAAGAAATGGAAATCTTACAAGCTCTGGCACTATGTTCGTCGCGTTCTGTTTCGCTATGTATAATCAGCCTATTATGATCAGGCTAGCGTCCTACAACCAGAGCGACTTAATACTGTATATGGTTGTCGATCGATAAACATGAGTATGTAATTCTCTGGGCACTCACGTACATGTTTTCACCATGTAAGCACCGACACGGGGTGGAAGTAATTGAATTTAGATTGGATCGAATTAGAAATTTTCTTCGCGGCTTTTGTTTTCATGGGAAATTACTTTTTGATGGGAAACATCAAAATCGAATTTCATCGGGTGTTCAGTAAAGGGGGAAACTTTACTTTTCGGGTAAATTCGGTGACGCTTATATTAGAACATTAACATTAAGTTACCATTATTGTTGGGTTCCCAGAAAATTTAACGGGCTTAGAATTGTGACAAAACACCGGCGAGGGTTCACCGCGAGGTGATACATTTAGCCTTTAAACGTTAATGTCTGTAATTATTTACGATAATTAAATTTAAACTGGTTTCGTTTGTTTTGGTTTTAATATAAAATTATGTGGGTCATAGTCGTAATGGTTTATAATATGAAATATCTTCTACCCCTGCTTAGGCCAGTCGCACTTTGGTCTCTCTCCGGTCCCTTAAGTACAAAATACATATTGCCTATATCACAACTGAGCTCGACAGTTAATGTTAATTTTCCCTAAATTGAACATAGGAAAGAAAAGAAATATGATTCAGTTCAAAAATAGTAGCTCTTTTGTTATATTAAATTCTTTACATTAACGAAATTATTATCATTTGTTCTGTCGTTTTATATTTTCTCTGAACTAAATTAAATTTTCTCTTCTTTCTCACATACAAACTAACTTGACTATCTGTTAAAATCTTGTCACTACACAATATAGAATAAAGAGATTGCAAACACTGAAATTTCTCAAGTTTCGTCTGTTTTAGAACGCAATCTAATCAACAACAGTTTGTTTGTTAGTGTCTTGAATCTTTACTAGGAATCATGTTCTTATGACCTCAGATTTTATAGGTGTGTTATTAGCCAATACGATCCTGCCTGTTGAACATTTAATGATACGTAAAGCAATGCTGCATTATTGCATTAATAGTGCATAAATGCTTTAGTAGTACATAAACAGGGTGTTGGTCTGTCCACAACAAGCATTGTGACTTTGTGAGTCATTTCTCTCCGTTGAATTAATACAATACAGTTCTTGACTAACTTACTTTCAATGTAAGATTAACTTTGACACAATGTCTTAAGCTTTATTTTGTCACGCCACTTTTATATTCGCGATATTATTTAAAGCACTTGAAACATTATTTCTTTACATTGCATGCCTCAATTCAGTATTATTATTTATGTTGCGTTTTGCGATCATAAATTGACTCGGACAGTCTGAAAAACCAATACTTTTAGATTTTAATCTGTAAAAGTACCCCTTCATACCATTCGAATGATCTATCAAATACATTTGCTGTATTCAGTGAAATCTCTAAAATATCCATTTGAAACGGTTTTACTGGCATCGATGCACATAACATTTTATGCTACGGCAACGTAATATTCCAGGGAAGCAAAGAGTGCATTACTGGTGTCCATGTTTTATTTATGCCAGTGCGTCTGCCACGCGAAAGTGGTTGCTTACATTACTGTCAAAATTTCATCTCTCGCTCCCGGCTAGCCCCACGTAAAAAGAGAAAAACAACTCATTTTAAAACCGATTCGTTGGTAAAAATATTGCAGAGAGCCTGCATCTTTTCACTTTGATGTGCTTAATATTTAAACCTTTTAATATTTTGAGGGGAACCGGCAAAGCTAAACCAAACTTGTGAGTCACGATACTCACGTACTATTTATATGCAATAAATTAGAATATTACGACCGATAACGTTCGAATTTATTTAGCACATTCACTTATTAGAATAAACATTTTACAGTCTTCGTGTTATATCCTCGTTTTGTGGTTTCACTATTTGTGGCAAGCAATTCTGATGTTTATATTAATGCTAATTGAGGTGAAATAAGTACTCCATTATAATTTTATGTCAAAACACAGGAGACCCAACCCATTGTGGACGTCACATAACTCGTAAAATTAGCGTTCCTGTTCGAAACTCGATAATCAAGTCCCAGTTCTGTTATCAGTGGAGTACTTAATTCGTTTAATTTATATGAACCGATAGTATAATGTGGTTCTGAATTAATTAAGCTCGCATTAATAAATTGGACATTGAAACCACCAACAGACACGGAATTGAATTACTTACGTATTACGGTAATGCGTTGAAATTGTAATAGTCAGGCGCTTTTTGATCCTCGGATAAAAATGTGAAGGTAAAAATTCGTCTGTCTAGAAGTGCCTTGAATTATTGAGAAAATTCAATCATTCATAATGAATAGGTTAATAACGACTATATCACTGATCGGTGGTTATTTTTCTTTTTCATTATGATGCTATTTTTTATTTCTTTTAGACAATTGTATTTCGCAAACAAGCCTACAACAGAACATAATGCCTCATAAGTACGTCTAACCGGATTGAATAATTCTTAGGTAAATGTAACTTGGTATATTCTGTGCAAACTTATATTTCTGCGTATATTAACTGATTATTTATGTTCAAGCTCTGATTGCGTAGCGAGAGACTTCCGATAATAAAGTTAGTTGATGAATATGATTATAATTTGATATACCTGATTTATGGCTAAGTTTGTTATTGGTCTAAGTTGTAAACTTTAATAAATCAATCGGAACGATACAGTGAATTACGTTTGCTGCTTTTTCTGTCTCCAGATGACGATAGAAACTGTTTTCCTTATTGATTTTAATTTATTGTTTATTTTCTTGATGTTTATGTGAGATTTTGAGGTGTTTTAGTTAATATTGCTATTTTTTAAACTAGGTATGTATAATCGTATACTGTTCAGGAGTATAGAATACTATACTCCTAAATTTTTACGGTTTATTTCAATCACTCATTTGTCTACATGTAGTCCTTTACAGTTCAGAGACACGTTATATTGACTAATCACCATCACCGAAAATAACGTTACTAGTTATATTTGGTGAAATTGAAACACGGAAAAATCTATATTGTTTTACCCAAAAAACGAAACCGCTTGGGTACTCATCTATTCCATGCCACTTCCTAAACTTCTCTATATCTGTGTCCACCATCTCCGGGGCGCCGGCCACAGGCTTAAACTAATTAGGCCCCCTGGTCTATGTCAATGTTGTCGCTGCACGCGGCCCGGTTTAATGCGTGTGTCTCCATTAGCCCACCCTCAGTTTAAACACCCTGTGTGCACTGACAATTCGCTAAAATTGATTTGTGAGGGGAGATGTGTAGATGTTCCTATACTGCAATACTTCGTTACTCTGTGTTTGATGTTATTATCTTGTTGCATTCGCAAACAAGGGTTTCAAGTTTGGACATGTTTTTTGTGGTGTGTCGGTATGTCTAGGGCTGAGTACATAAATGTTTTTTCAAGATAACAAGAGATTCTTTATGAGGTTTGTGTTTTTTTTTGGCGTAGAGGATAATATTGTCTTTAATTTTTTTGTATCTGTAGTCTTTGTTGATTTCTAATACTTTATAGTTAAGTACTTTTATTGATAGCTGAACCATCATGTTGTGTAGATTAATTAAATTATTATAAATCACTAATAATTAAAGTTACTTTTGGTCAATAGTCAGTAACTTATACGTCGACCTATCAAATATAAAATAAAAAAGTAACAGTACATAGTTATTTTGTACATCCAATGGCTTCTTTCACCTTCGGTTAGGCGAGAGGGAGTATCAGACTCTCAGACCTCCTGACTAAAAACCACCCCGTTCCTATTTCTGCTCTTCAGATCAGAGCCCCGGCAACCTGTTAAGCCACTTAGATGTTTGAATCTCAAGTGAAATAAAAATGCAGAATACTAAAGTGTAATTTGTTTTGATCTTAGTGGCCATATTTTCAAGACAAGTTAATGTATTTATATCATAACATTACATCATTATGTCGTCAGGTACTTATTAAAAACTCAGAATCGTTTGAAAAGTTTGCTTTAATGTTTTTATTTCCTGTTTTGTTTACATCGTGAAGATTCCCTTGTGGTGTCTGCTATTCTTAGAAGATTGTATTCTCTGATTGTCAAGTCGCTCTTATCATATCAGAAATTGTAAGCACTTTGTTGTCTCCTCTCTGTTTATAACGAGCTGTCACAGTTATCTTGACGCAACGAAATGTAATATTTCTCAAAGACTGATGTTCGTAAATTGCTATTTAATTTTTATCATTCCTTTCTTTTTTGTTGTAATTAAAAAGGAATTTGTTTACTCTTGGCTTGTTTGTATTTTAGAACATTTCACAGCATCTCGATGGTGTTTTGTTTATTATAGATTGTTGGTTTGAAATTCATAAATCATGGTGCAATTTCAATATGAATATTAATTATGTGAAGCAATGTTTCATTATGACTTGTTTGATAGGATCTAAAATATTTTGTCTTAAACCTGCTCTGCGGCGGAATAGCTAAGTAAATGTCGAGATTGTATTAAAATAGCCCATAATATATGATGGATTATATTTTACTTTATGTTGTTGCTGAATATTAGTATAAGATAGTTGAGTTCTTCTCCCCTCCCACTTTGAAAGTGCAGCGTCACATTGGTTGCGCCGACGCCGCCCGATGTTACCGTCACTTCAGTGTCTGTCCGCGAGAGATCTCGAGCTATGATGCCCTGAAACATAGAAATATTATGTGTTAAATTAGTATTATTTAGAGTATTCTTAAGGCTTTGACTGCCGACAGAAAACTGTTGAAGGTAAATCCTCCGCTAGCGTTGCCCATACATTGTCCCTCATGGCGTTCAAGGTGTTAAGAGATTCGATTGTGTGTCAAGAGATCTAATAATAGATGACCATCATGATCTTCGGAAACGCATCTGTAACTCTTCGCTTACCATCAGGTGATCCTATGTTAAGCCAAGGATACACTTGGGGAAACTAATAGAGCTTTTCTCAGTGTAATTACGTGTGTCACCCGCGATTTTTAATTAACCAGAAGTTGTTACAAAATTATTTTCTGATTGCATCACAATGCGTGTGTACATTTTTACCGTGACCACCTGGACAGTAAATATTACACGAAATTATACCCTCAAATAGGGTTTTACCGAGAAAATGGGTAGCATTTACAAGTGCATTATAACATCATTACATTTAAGTTAGTGTAATCACGGTAGAATTGAACCGTAACTCAGAAGGTCGTTACACTATCGCTTAAAAGCCATTCTAGATTACAAGAATCACGTGTTTTGTTTCAATATAAGATTAGAGAAACAATGTTGATTATGTTAGCCCGTAAATGTAGCTATTACAAGTGATTTAAATGATATTTGTAGTTATCTACATTACATACTGTTGTAAGTACATGTTGTTTGGACAATCTTGTTTTTTGAGCGTCCTCCAATGACTTCCAGACAAGATGGCTTTTTTTTAAGGGGGAATATCATCGAATGACTTCTCACGCCTGGGTAAGGTGGGAGGGAGTGTCAGACTCTTACTGACTAAAAACCACCACGTTCCTACTCCTGCACTTCGAGACGGAGCCCCGGTAATCCGTTCGGTTCTCCGCGGCTCCATATCGGCATCAGCCCTATTGGGCACCATCCGTGGTTGTCTGATGGCTCTTTGAGGTGCGCGCGGAACGCGAAGACAAGATGGTTGGCATTAGTATTTAATACGTTACATAGAATTGAGGAACTCGGAATTGCAAACGTAGACGAGCATTGTGTGAAATAGGATAAATATTTTTCACACGTGCGTAACACCTATACTATGACTTTCTGAAGTTATATTGTCACTATTTGTTTGCCATATATTTGTTTTTCAATAAATAAAGAAATACTATAAAACTGTATTATTTAGGTATCTGAGGGAAACATAAGTGCTGAACGAGACACTTGATGTTTGAAAACTTTAATAACTCTGGTTCCAAAAAGATGAGTGAACTTCAATACGATTTCGCAATAGCCCGTGAAACAACGAGATTCAAAACAAGAACAATGTTTAAACATATTCGTACACTGATACCTTAATTAAGGTGTAAGATACGAAACAAGGTTTTTTTTTTCTGTCCAACGAACTAACAGATGTTTTATCAACTAAGTTTTGCATGTCTCTTCTCAATAAAATGAAAAAGGTAGGTAACTATATCGCCTAAGGGACATAAATCCTTTCTTATTTTTACAACCTCCTTGGGAATCTTGACAGCTGTGGCATTTTTTCTTTAAATCCGAGATGTATAAGGAAATGGATATGCTTTGATGAAAGTACAACTTATTAATTAATTAATTTATGCACGTAGTTCTTATCCATCTTTTATTAGTATGCGAATCATGTATTGGCTTTGATTTTGTCTTGATATAGATCTTGCTTGTGTCATTCAAGGCTATCTTTTGTTTTTCTTGCATATGAATTAAAGATATCCACATTGTACGGTGGTCGCCCGTCAGTATACTGGGACTGTCAGACTCTTACTGTACACCATTATGTTCTTACTACTACTTCGTAACCCAAAAGAACGTCCTAAGCAGTCTTTATCCGTATATCTAACTATATTTAGGTCAAAAAAGTAATTAGTTATTACTTTTACTACATATAGCACTTATTAAAGACCAATAGACAACGATTCTACTGAACTACAACATATAAGTTAATCTACACACAATCCCAATAATATTCGCACAGGTAATCTAAATTCAGAATTGAGTTGCACACAAACTCCTTTACCGTGTGTAGTTAAATATATTATTTCGAAGAGACCTATTCAATATGCACACGCGACATCGTTTCCGAAGCAATTTGCGACACGCTAGCGATCCGTGTTGTCGGTTCTGTTCATCAAAGTTTCATCAAAGCTAAGTGGGAAACCACTGGTTCACTCCACAATTTTTTTTTCTCTTTTCCCATTTCGTTTACTTTGATGATGTGTTTGTGTGTTATTTCCGATAGTTTTGCAATGGATTTCGTGTTGTGGATGAGCTTTTAACTGTTTTAATGGGTGGTACATTTTTGATAGATTGGTCAGCGTTTCGTTTGATTCGCACTTTGATCCAATTTGGTTTTGAAATGTTGCATAATGTAAGTGATAAAATTGTGTTTGGTGATGTTGATGAAGGCACTATAATACATTTATATGACAGTATTTAGTTAAACTATGGCCATAGCATGGCCTTCTTTAGAGTCTATCTATAAAGTCTAGATTCAATAGCCACGATAAATAGGATCAACATTCAGAATTAATTTAGTCAGTAGTAATTGAACTACCTACACTAAGATAGGAACGCAGATTCCACACAAAATAAATCTCAAGACAAAATATCGTGAGAATGTTTCACCTAAACTCTGTGTTGCTGTTAGAGGCTTTCATGTCAGGCATAAACTATCCATGTAATATAGATAAATCAATTGCTAAGCAATTACCCCGAAGACTGAATCTCGGTTAAATAACAGCAGTCTACGTTTATTCCTTTAGAGAGAATATAAACGAGCTAAAATATTATACGTCTTTATATGAGATTGTAGGAAATTGTATTATAGAGGCTAGTTTCCTAACTAAACCTTACATAAAATCCTTTAAAGACTTCGTGAAATCGGTGAAAATGTTTGATTGTACTACCAGGCAGTTTTAGCCACTAAACCTGGTGATACTAGTGCACCTTTTGTTTCCTCATAACTGTTACTCAATAGGACGGCAATGAGATACTATTTGAGAATCTTAACGCAACAGATCAACTTTTATAAACACACATAATAAATCGATGTATGAAAATTCGTTAATCCATTTATCGAAGTCGGTTCGCCGATCAAAAAGGGATTCGCTTTGTATGTATCATTTAGCTTCCGCAGATTTTTTGACTGTTCATTTCAATGTTTTCAAATAGCGAACAGATTTAAAAAAACCTTTAAATCTGCAATCATATTCGTTAACCACTAGATCACATCCAAAGAAAACACAAATTTCTTTACGCCTATGATACATTATTGTACGCAGAACATAGTCCAAGAGTTTATAGCAGTCAACAGTTCATTAAACTTGAGATTTTATACTCAAGATGTGCTGACGTCTGTTGAAACAACAATAAGTTCAAAGTCGAAACTATGGTATAAAAATATATTTTATCGCCAATAGATCTGTTTGTTTAATGAAGATAAACATTTGCTTTTCAAATAAAAAATAAATAAAATTATTTTTGCTCAGCAATTTTGCCACGATGTTAATGGCATGGCATGTAGATAGCATGAACAAAATATTTTTCAATCTTAAATTGGTAACTCTAGAGCTAATTTTTTTTAAACATAAATGCTTTTTGTTTAATTCACTAATAAATAATTTTAATCAAATGATGTGAATGAATCAAGTCGTGTGATGGAAAGCTGTGTATAAAATCAAACCATATCATGATATATGTTTAGGTATCATTATTGTGAAAAACGGACAAAATAGAGAGAAACCTTGTTACATTATTGTTCGTCCTCGGTGTCGAATATTAAAACTGGAATTTCGACGGGTATTGTCAATCGCCAAGTTTCCACGGTCGGCGTCAGGAAGAAATAAAAGTTTATTTCAAGAAACCATAATTTCTTTAAAATGCCATTGGAATTGTTCCAATTGTCACGATTGCTATGATATCAAAATTACATATCTACTAGTCTATTTTTGTAATTTGCTGACGTTGGAAGGTACTGCGTAGGTATAAAATTGTTATCCATGGAGTTTTAATAGTTTTTGGCAGCTATTGAACTTTGCATGACGGTGTGTTATCTGGAGTTTGTAGACTGATATTTCGGATATTATATGGAAGCTACTTTGTGTGTTAATAGGATCTATATCCTATAAGTAAGAACATTAAGGTCCATGCTGCATTATTACGTAGTTAATTAAAGTTGAGGGCCGCTAGCAAATTAAAAAAATATACTCTCCTATATGTTCATTTTTGCTATCAATTACATATTTTTTATTTAAAAATGTAAGGCCTTATAATAGCTAAGTTTTTGGGTCTTATAACATCTACAATTCTACGTATTTATGCGTCTTCGACTAACATCTGACCGATTTAAAATAATCATCAAATAATATATTTTAGCGTAAATATGTACCAACAATTAAACTAACATGCCTAATGTCAAGACTTTACTTCATTTTTTATCACAAAATGGACCTTTGTATGTGGTGTCTATACGTGGTTCGGAGGCTTTTAAGGCACGCAGTGTGTCCCAAATAAATGATTGGAAGTATTACAAATCTTTAAGTATCATGCACTTTCACTTATAATAAAAATTTAAACACAATAAATACCTTTATAATTCTCTCCTTCGAGTCAATGTAAGTGTAATCCTTGTCCCTCCTTATTAAAGGTATGCTTCTGTATTTGAGTTTCTGTGTAGATATTAACAAATTGTTCGCTTTCGTACCAACAATGAAGTCTTTACCTTCATTCAAACACACACACAATAGGATCAAACACACGGTAATTAGAACACACTTCATTTTAAATGTTTTTTTTTTCAACTACAACATTTTGAGGTTATGTGTGCACTCTCACATCTGTGGAGTAGAACTGTTTTGATTATGAGGAAAATTATTTATCTGTGACGCCATTTGACGCCATTCGACCTTGTCTCGGCCTCAGACTATATCTGAATATGACTTAATGCCACGTCAACGGTAACTAGCAAAAACTAGCGCTTTAGGACTTCATTTTGTAGACAAGGTATCCAACTATTAAGCTAGTTCATATTCATTTAGACAGAATTAGGTCGCCATGATCTAATTGACATGAAATATTAATATTGAGCCCAACCTCGCAAATCGCATGATACGAATTGATTAGCTTATTATATATTCAAACAATTTAAGTCTCCTTCGAATTTTTGACTAAATAAACATAAGCAAGAATTACTTACACATGTAGATTTCAAGTGGTTTAACATCTACATGCGAGGCAAAGATTAACTGCCTACACGACGATACCCGAGCTTTGCGTTTTAAATAATTACTAGTTATACTCGTCTTAATGTCGGTCTATGTACAGTCAGGATAGGAACCTCTAAGCATTAATAAAGTACACTGTACAGCCGCAAGCAACAACCATAAACAATGGCGCTACTGAGCTTACCGATTTTGACCAATAATGCTTCTGCATTTCCAAGATATTATGGGTGCTTCTTTATTTGAATTTATAATTAATGAATTGTCTTAGCAAATGAAATAGTTGTCTCTATTCCTTTATCAACATTTATATTTCGACTACATTTTACGTCTCGTTATTTTTTTTTCATTTGATAATAAATTGTTTTATGGGTGGGCTTGATGGCATAAAATCTGGATGAAATAAGGATACCTATTTATATTTTTGGATTAATTTTACATACATAACTTATAGCACAGGAAAACTTCATAGAATTGAAAATGAAAGGAACAAAACATGTTACCATCCCCTATATTTACACAATAACGTAGCGGACAAATCGATTGATTGACAACTGAACCGTACACCACAATTCAAAGTTATTTTTATTTCACGTATTCCTAAATTACTACTCATTATAAATAATAGGTACCAATCATTGAATATTTTTACCTCTCGGTTTTTCGCAAAATTTCTTATTTTAGTAGCTTCAACAAAAAACATGAATATCAGTTAATGAGAAGAAAAATACCTTCACATTTTTTATGCCAAAGTGAGTATTCACGAATCGATTTCTAATAATAATAATAGCATTGCCAATCGAGAATCGAATAAGCACAAAATAATACGTCTAAATTGAGTGATATTGTGTTATACAGAAATTGAAACGCTATCAATTAAATCGAACATTGATTGACGCGTTTAATTTAAATTGAATATATTTGAATTTAAATAAAGGAAGGGAAGGTATCTAACGAATCGTTGACTTCGGAATGACTTGGCATTTTTGTGACAGTACTTGGTGCCTTGGTACTATGTTCAAAGTGGAATGCGGTATTGTCTCCATATTTATGCCAACTGTGTGCTCGTTATTCATGCGTCTGAAGTATGAAAGCTTTGCACGTTCGCATATCACTACACTCGGAAGTAATTTTCGTTGTAACACGCACAACGTTGATTGTTCTTCTATTTATTGCATTGTATTTTCTCTTGTGTTTTGTATTTTTTTCCAGGTGTTGTAAACATTTTTACGGTTAATGCTAAAGTCTACTTTGGGACTATCTCAATGTAAATACTATAAAGATTAATTATTGGTTTTATAGCAAACTTTTGTATGTTTTGAATTGTCCTTTATTGTTTTGGTAGCGTTCTGGATATTCATAAAATGTTACTCCGAAATTATAACATTGTAAATTGTTATTGATACAGCGAATAATACATGTGTCATGATGGCGTTGCGCCGTCGTTTTTTGTCCATGTCAAGTTTATGATGAGGCGTGTATGCAAAATATATTTTATAAAATGTCGATCTCAAAAATCTCCCTCGTTGGCCGAGTGGTCACTATTGCGACTGCCGGGCAAGGGGTTTTGGGTTCGATTCCCGTGTCGTAAAGTAAATCTGTTTTTTTTTTAATCTCAGTAGTAGGACGCAGTCTGAAATGGTGCCCGGTATATGGCAATAGGCTCACCTATACTTATTCCGACTTACAACATAAATAGGGAAAAGTGGGTGTTACATTGTACAGCGATATTAAGTGCTGTAATATGCACCTCTGCCTATCCCTTCGGGGATAAAAGCCGTGATGTTATGTTATGTCGATCTCAAAAATCTGATTCACTTTTACCGGATGGTAAAAAGTAAGCGAAACAAAATCAAAAGCATTTCTATCACAGACTTCCTCTCAGTTAATTGCCAGATCCTCACATCACATCCAGACACATAAAGAGTAAATCTCGCAAAGCAGTCCTGGTTTTGCATGTACGTTGACAAGTGCGTGCGGTTGGGTGTTATTTCAGTCTGCCACGTCATCGCTTTGATCTGAGTCGACTTTTTGTCGAACACTCGTTTAATGTGACGACAAATAACTCAAACTGGAACGCGGTACTCTTTTTGATTTTATCAAAAGTGTACACAAGATGTTCCTGAGTTTTAAATGCGAACACTTCATTAGTGCGATCACCCGTCTCGGTTGAAGATCTCAGAGATTCGCGTTTCAATGTTTGTTTTGGACTTAAATTCTTTGAAAGTATTTGTTACTGTGAGCATTAACATTTGATACTCTGTGATCATCGTGACTGGTAACGGATAAGTGTCTAAATATTCAGTTACGATTTAAGTCTTAGATTAAACCGGATTATCGAACGTTGAAATTAACTTAAATGAATATTTTATACGCTCGATAGAGATGTTGATGTTAAATCGAAATCGTGACAATTTATCGCTAGACAATTTCAATATCTCACTTAAGAAGATTATGTTGTTTAATTTAATGCAAAAATGAATTTATATTCAACTCAAAACTGGGGAAGTAAAATAAAATACATAAAATATGATTATCAATGTGTGACTATTTTTGTTACTCATGCAACGGTATCTATAAATAGACACGAAATGGAAATTAAGTTTTTAAATGCAAATGTAATGGATACCTACGCTATTATTAGGGTCGACAGGCATATTCGACACGTCATCGAACTGTGAATCGATACTGTTGCGGTTACGGTATTTGAGCTCAAATGTTACATTGTTATTGCTCTTTACTATTAAAATTAAATCGATTGTGAAATCGTTTCGATCGTTCACACATTCATAATGCACCAAGTCATCCATCACCGAAAAATCGATTGTAACTGAATTATAAGTGAGTAGGCGTACATGGTACGGCCATTACCTTCCGTCGCTATTTCCGATAGTCGTATCTCAGTGGAAACGGTATCCGAATGTAAAATCGGGTAAAATGCATACGTCGAGCTGCAATTTGGCATGATTGAGCCCGGGACAATAGAGCGTTGGCCGTCACAGCGAGATAGGTGATTCCCGATAAATTGGCGGATAATACTTTCGACCCGTGAATCGATGAGCTCCCCTAAAGCTGGGATTTGGTATTTTATTTTAAAATTCATTGAGTGAATAACAGTATAAGGTTTAAAATTGCACAACAAATAAAATTAATTACCGAACAACATTCTTACAACTTTCTATTTTCTTGGAATCGTTACGAAATCGAAGGGTCATGATGAAAATTAAGTAAATTATGATTTGAGTGATCAGTCGTTTGTCCTTTCGCAAGAGGTCAAGCTTAGATTAATGATAGTGATGAGTTAGTTAAACTACCGTTTATGTATGTTTTTGATTTCTTATATCTACTACTATTAATCTTATCGTGTTATTTATTTATGATATTTCTTTATATGACATTGCTTCGACTTATGTAAATATATAATCTGGTAAAATTGAAGATTCCGTGCTAATACTGTGATTTTTTTGAAAAATCCAGTAATATTTTGCCTTTAAATAGTAAAAGTCAAAGTCAAAGTCAAATCATTTATTTCAATTAAACCATAGTTTGGTACTTTTGAAACGTCAACAAATACAAAATAAATAATAGTCTGTCAGTCAGTCCGTCAGTGAAGCTAGGTGAAACTAGGTGCAGTCATTCCAAAACGTAGATTCGAATGGAGAAACATTGTACAGTGGTGTTACATTGTACAGTGGCATAATGTACACCTCTGCCTACCCCTTCGGGGATGAGTCGCGGAGAATCTAACGGGTAACCGGGGCTCCGGCTCGACGTGCAGGAGAAGGAACAGGGTGGATTTTAGTCAGTAAGAGTCTGATACTTCCTCCCGCCTCACCCAGGGGGGAGCAGTCATTCGATGATTTTCCCCCCTTAAAAAAACCCCTCGGGGATAAAAGGCGTGATGATATTATGTTATAAAATTGAAATGAAAATAGAGAGCTCTAAAACTTGTGAAAAGCACACAGCATTTTATTACAATAACACAATTGAAGAACCTTAGAAAACTTTAAATAAGTAACAAAAGAGAAAAGATCTTTCTATTATTCAATCTTTTGTGCCATTTCTTTGTTGAAGAATTTTTCTTGCTAGTTTATTGTTACAACTTGTCGACCAACAATACTTTTACCTCGGCATAAAATTTTACTTTTACAATGATAAAGTTAATATTACAATACATTTAATTTAGTCTTTTTTGTCTTAAAAAAGAAAATTTTGTTTTATTTTTTTTATAGCCTAAGCCGCTAAACAAGCAGACGGATCACCTGATGGTAAGCAATCGACGCCGCCCATGGACACCCGAAACACTAAGGCGTTACAAGTGCGTTAGCGGTGGTAACGAGGTCAGGCCGTGGTATCACTCCTGTCGAGCCGGCCCATTCGTGTCGAAGCATGACTCTCCCACACTTATGCTTGGATAATTTCCTGTGTCCTAGGTGCTTGAAGCACCTACAACGAACATACAGTTTTACATACACATTACGCCTTCGGGGATCACACAAAGAGGTGTTACGTATCATATCCAACCCGTGACTCGTTGCACAGCCGACAATTGCCCAGCTACTGCGCTAACGTGTAGCCAGATAAAAGTGAACTTTTTTATAACATCACGCCTTTTTATCCCCGAAGGTGTAGGCAGAGGTGCACATTTCG